CTCCAGGTGAGTCCTTGTTAGTGACAGGTAGTGAGTGTCTAGATGAGCTTTCGTTAGTCACAGGTAGGGAGTGTCCAGGTGAGCTCTCATTAGTCACAGGCTGTCAGTGACCAGGTGAGTCCTCGTTAGTGACAGGCTGTCAGTGACCAGGTGAGTCCTTGTTAGTGACAGGTAGTGAGTGTCTAGATGAGCTTTCGTTAGTCACAGGTAGGGAGTGTCCAGGTGAGCTCTCATTAGTCACAGGCTGTCAGTGACCAGGTGAGTCCTCGTTAGTGACAGGTAGTGAGTGTCCAGGTGAGTCCTCGTTAGTGACAGGTAGTGAGTGTACAGGTGAGCTCTCATTAGGTTAGTTCTATTCATAACTCACAAGTGACCAGTAGAGCGCCTGCTAGTAGCATGTCTTGCCGCGAAGCTTTTCGCAATTTTTAATCAGAAACTTGATTGCAGTCATATTGTGTGTGTGTGTGTGTGTGTGTGTGTGTGTGTGCGTGCGTGAGTGCGTGCATGCGTGCGTGCATGTGTGAGAGATCGGGTGACAGATCGCATTAAGATGACATTGTTAGTTCAACCATGCGGATGATTACTTATAATTGTTGCAGGGAAAATTCACCCTGTAGCCTAAGCCTGCTGTAAGTGCTTCTAGAGTGTCGTGCTTGAGCCTCACTTTGTTTTTTCAGGTACAACGAGAGACAGCAGAATGAGAGGCTTCCAGCGGGAATCCTGATCAAAAGTCTCTGCCTCACAAACGGAGGTAAGACTTGGCAACACGGATTCGACACTGTAACGGGACTTGAATGGTCGGGGTTTGAAGTTAGTCATGCGATTATGCCAAATGTGATTTTATTTTTGAGAAATAACGAGCTCAAAATTCCCTCACGTGCAAAATTTACTGGCTGATGAACTGAGCATTGAATGCAGTTTGACGGTTTGTGTCACAGTCTTGATAAGTATTCCTCCTTTAATTATGTAGGTGTGTTTCCTTTAATTATGTAGGTGTGTTTCCTGAGACCCACCATCCAAAGCTGATCCAGAAGGTAGGCACTGTATTGTGTTCTAGATTTTTAAATTTCGTTTTACTTATTTGTTGTAGGCATCTTTCCTGAAACAAACTTCCCTAAGTTTACTCAGAAGGTGAGTAGGAAGAGGGCTAGTGCCTTGGTTAGGTACTGTTTACCACTAGACGGAGTGAGGTAATCTTTGGGATAGCCACAAGACTAACGAGTGGGTTTAGATTTGGGATAACTGATAGATTTGACGATGATTAGGTTTTGAAATAGCTTGTAAGTTAGGCAGTGGATGAGATTTTCGAGTAGCTGATTGGTTAGGTGCTAGGTGAGATGTTAGGGTAGCTAATAGGGAATCTGCTATTGTAGCTGATGTGTTAGCTTTCTGAGCTAACAAGGTGAGTGTATCACACAAACACCTGTGAATGAGTAAATGAGTATTATAATTAAATAGTAAATATATTATATAAAAATAATACTATAGTGAATGAGTATCCTAATTGGTCCGTGTTTCCCCTTACATTGTCATGTGAATCTAACCCAGCCAATCACTCGGTCAGGAGAAACCACATGATATATATATACTACAAGTAGTTACTATCGTACACTGTGATGAAACCCATGTATACTAGAGCTGACCTGATGCTTGTCTATGTTAATGTTTCAGGCGCTGATGCTGCCATATGTCGGGCCAACCATTGGCTATGTCATGAATTACTTCACCTTCCGCAGGGAGTAAGTATATAGATATATAGTATCAGGGGTTAATAAGGACAAATCGTCATTATTTATTGTCAAATTGTTAATTGTCAAATTGTCATTATTAACCCTTGACTGTATATAGATCTCATTTGAAACTCCTTAGCTCTTAGAGCTTCATTCAGTCATCACCCTCTCCCGTAAGATGATTTATTCATTCATTTATCACCCCTCCTCCGTAAGATGCAAATCACACACAGTAGCTCTTGGAGCTTCATTCCTTAGTCACCCCTCCTTCGTAAGATGCAAATCTCACACGGTAGCTCTTAGAGCTTTATTCTTTCATCACCCCTCCCCGTAAGATGTGAATCATACACGGTTGCATGCTCTTAGAGCTTCATTCAGTCATCACCCCTCCTCCATAAGATGTCAACTATACACAGTACTTAGCTCTTGTAGTTTTATTCTTTCATCACCCCTTCCCAGTAAGATGCGAATTGCACACGGTCCACGCACTTAATGCACTTAAATGCGAACAATATTCCTAATAACTATATCACACACTGAATCTCTTGTGCTCCAACAACATACAGCAAGTAATACATATAGAGTAATACATAACAGTAGTAGTACAATATTTTTCTGAAATGCAACTAACCCTGAATTGAATGGGGACCACTATGAACAGAGACGTACAGCTTTCCGATGCTTACGGACCTACGGAACGTATATAGAATCAGAAGTAGATAACTACAGCTGATTACTAAATAAACAGTTGTACTCGTAGCTTAGTTAAAAGCAGTACAAAAACTGACGCATCAATTTATCGTAAAAGTAAGAATTAGGATGCAAGCTGCGAAAATAAACGCGGGAGTTACTTCCTGGGTACTCACATGACATATGAGAACAATATTATAGATACTCTGGCAACTTTCGACAGTCGAATGGAGCAATCGCGCTTTCATATTTTCAACAGCAGGGGGCAGCAGCTGCCGAATACCGATTTCGATTCTGCTATTCATAGAATTTTGGTTTCATACGCGCTATTCCTAGAATTTTGGTTTCAGACGCGGAAGTATACGCGGAATCAATATATATAACGAACACAAGGAACGAAGGGGGACAGGACAAGAAAACTATATATATTTAAATACAGCTAATGCTTAAGTTATATGAGGATGAGGATGAGAATGTAGGTTAGTTGACAGGTTATAGAGGAGCTGAGAAAGAGAAGCACCCCTCCCACACACACAGGGTTGGCTACATTGTATGTATATTATATATATATATATATTGTATATAATATACAATGTATATATATGTACATATTGCAGACTGACAAAGCTTAGGTTCCCGGCGTTTCAATTATTACATGATTGGTGTCCACAGATTTCCTACCTTACGTGATTCATTTGAAACTCGCTGCAGGAATCAGCATTCAATGAAATTACATTTGAGAGAATGACCCACCGCTAAATACCAGTGCTGACTTCTCATCGTCAACATGGATTTATTGCTCCAGCATCTATTGCGACGAGTCGTGCTAGCTCCGCATTGGCAGAGTAGCGTTTACCACCTCGTGGTGGGCATTCCGTGCACGCACTGAAATGCTAAGCAAATCTTTTCGGTGTGCTGCGGCATCTGAGTGGAATAATTTACCGCTTGACGTTCGAGATGCCCCCCCCCCACCATTTCTTCTTTTAAAGTCTATCTAAAGATAATCTTGCCCTATCAATAGGGCCCATTGTGCTCTACTTACCCCGTACAATTTTAGTCTAAGTACTTCAACTCTTATTGTGTATTTATTTAATATTTAACTGTTCTATTGCTGTGAGACGGCCATGTGGAAGATTGGTCTGCGTCATTTTATTGTGTCTGTACCTAACATGTTTTACCGTCGTTACATAAAGTTTTTACTTACATTCATACTGTGAGGTGATCTGCTCTGCATACTGTAGGGTATAACCGTAGATTCACTCGTGTTTACAGTGAGTGGGGGGCATGTGAAATTCAGCTGCTGTTTAGCAATCAACCACTACAGTTAGCTCCTTTCGGGCAACGCTGCTGTACACTGTCTCCGGTGTTCCTCATTAAAAGCAAATTAATTCGTAAGCGGATCGGCGGCTGCTCTTTGCGATCGTCATGTGTTAGATCGTGCGCAAACGTGCAATGAATACATGTGACAACATTCGACGTTATAATGTCGACGTGTAACACGTGTAATTTACTTCTTGCTTGCGTGCGCTACAGACTCGGTCACGTGTTTGGAGCGACGACGCAGCCGACGGACGCGGAGTTTGCAGACTTCTGGGCGGCGGTCAGGTACAAAGATCAGAACCTTGTCATTCACAGGTATGCCGCGAAGTATCTCCGTCACTTCTATTTATTTAGTTTCATTTTATCAGCATTGTCGATTAAATTGCTTAACTAATAATGTTACCTCCAAAATGTAATTCATAAGTGTAAATAAAGTAATTTTAATTGAATTAAATTGAATTGAATTGAAGAATGGTCTCCTGAATGTCTCTTCAATGTCTCACTCTCTCATGGGGGTCTCCCCTCTGACGTCACACTGTCTTGCTGGCAATCACTCGAATGCTGATGTCTCTTATTAGACACTGAGTTCATGTAAGTCGTTGATGAAATTTTTAGAATCATCTTTGAATGCAGTGAGATACGAGAAATGAAGGGATTGTAAAGGAAAAAGTGGTCATGCATCTAGCCACGTTGTTATGCTTTTCTGTTTTTCACAAACATATTTTGTAACCTTGACAACCATTGATGCAGGCTGATTGGCTACATTCCGGAGAGAAGAGCGAATCGGGACAGATGGGTTGAAGCGATCCAGAAAACCTCCATTCCACGTGAGTCTCACACTCGTCTGAACCGAGGATTCACTGTTTGTCGGACCAAATTGTTAGCATTGCCTATGTCATGACATCATAGGCTGATGACAGCAGATATCTGAAAGTACTTCGTTAATGTGGATACATGATATATTCCTACAAGTCATCCTCTTAATCGTATAAAATTCAGGTGACTGCTTTATTATTGATCATTGTTAGTAATTTAACATGCGTGTTTATCGATCTATTATTTCAGTATTGATGATCTATGGGCCAGCTGACATCATCAATCCGCCACCGTTTGCAGATTATTACAGGCAAGCGCCATCTTGTGTCTGTAAACAGTAATATTGAAATTGTTTTCTCAGCTATTAAATAACAGGCATATTAACAGGTGACATGCTGTTCACAGTAATAGCATACAATTCTAGCTGTCAGTATCTCCGTGTGCACATGTACCAGGGATGAATTCTCTGCAATGTAGTAGTATGATCTATCTGATCTATTTGTAGATAAATCAACCCTCTATATACATATTATATATATATACATGGATATTGACAGTTTGTGAAAATGGCAAATGTGTGACCTTACTTTACTATCTGGTCACCAGGAGGACGGTAGCGAATTCGGCGCTGGTAGAACTGGAGTCGCACGTAGCACACTACCCTCAGTGGGAAGATCCGCACGCATTTGCTGATGCCTACTTCCGTTTCCTGGACGGGTTGCCAACGGCAACGACATAGTGCGATCCACTCTACTCCCACGTAGGAAATTACGGGAGATGTTTGATGCATATGATAGTTTATATCGTTGATTCGTTGCAAATTTTATATGATTTTTTTTATATATTGGATATATTATATTTTGAGAAGGCATTTTCTGGTTGGTGAGGTTTGGTTTGCCTTGGACCAAATGTCAGTTGTTTTGTAGGAATGATCATAAATTGAAAATAAATTTACAGGTGCTGGTCTGAGATAATTTTGTCAGTGGTATTATCTGTTAGTCATCTCAATCTTAAGAATATTTAAAAAATTCCGTAAGTATCAGGTTAATAAGAATATTTCATTCAACCATGTAAAGGCAAACATTGTCCAAATGAATACGATTAGTTTAATTTATGTCAGCTATGCTTTTTTAAAGCGAGTATTGTTTTGCTAAATCGAATGAACAACGAGCCAAGAAGAGAAACGTGATGTTTGCTTAACGTTTTGTTACATTAAATACTTTTATTAAACAATACGTAGTCTTCGTAGGCCTACAGTATGTCGTGTATAATTCAGCTACGATTGTCGTAATCACATAACATATGAGGGCGCCACTGCAGCCCATGGGTAGAGATCATCCAATGAAGGTTGCTAGCAGATCAAGTATGAGTTTCATCATCGTCCAGCCATGCCCAACGTCATCTGGGGCTGGCCAGTACAACCCCATCCCCACTCCCCCACTATCATCTATGGAGCACTCCACCACTCCACCACTATGGAGCCTCTGCAATGACATCCATTTATCACAACGGAAGAACGCACAACAGACAACGGACAATGGAAGGACGACGGACTCCAGGACTCAAGGACCCAGGACCAAGGATGAAGGATGCGCGAATATAGGCATGTTACACGACTAATCACATAACTTTAGCGCGAGTAATTATTATATGTTTTCACATAATATTTGTGAACGGTTAAAAATTTTTCGCAAGGTAATTGTAATAGACCTGCTATACAATGACGATCACGAAAACATATACCTATTAGTATTTAAATAGTATCACTAGCTTTCAGCTTTTATTATATAACGAATGGCAAATAGTTTCACATGCCTCAGTAACCAAGGTTGCATAGATTCTCTTTTCGAAATTATTTTACAGTTACAAAAAAACTTTTTTTGCCATATAAATTAGGCCTCATAACTTTCATTTGGCGGGGGGAAGTATAATGACGGACCTTCTCGGCCGTGGTAATTTTTATGTTAAACTTAGAGAAGTGTCACGACTATGTTAGAATTTAACTATGTATGCCATCAGGTCCTTTGGACAATTAAAAAACATAGGTGACGCTTCTTACAAGTTTAACGACAGTTCAACAGCCTAGATAGAACGCAGGCCTTCTGTGAATCTATGCAATCTGCGGTAAAAATGTAGGCAGGTGATATAAAAAAAGGCATAAAATCACAGGTATCACCCTCTTGTCCGCTCACCTTTTCGTCACAGTACCCTCCAGTCCAAAAAAAAGCGCGACCTAACGAATGACGCAAGATAAGTCGCGACCTAACGAATGACGCAAGATAAGTCGCGACCTAACGAATGACGCAAGATAAGTCGCGACCTAACGAATGACGCAAGATAAGTCGCGACCCACACATTTTGTATAAATATAGCAGTATTTTTGAGTAAGAGGCAGAGTCGACCGAGTAATATAGTATATATCACGTACAATCTACACTCGCATCACGCGTGTAGATAAACATATGCATGAGATACGCGTGAACGAAAAAAACACGTACACAAAACTTAAAAATCTTTGCTCCACTACATTCAAAACAGCATTGTTCACGCAGTAATGTAACGCCGTAACCGCAGTAACAGCATTGCTTCACGCAGTAATGTTAACCCCGATACCGCGCAGTAACAGTAATGTTCACGCATTAGATTCATTCTATCATAACCGACATATTAAAACCACTCGCATATGCAGCTTCATCTGAAGACAGACAAGAGTCAATAACTAAGACCACGTTAGGCTCAGCAAGAACAAGTCGCACCAGCTACACGAACACACGCCTGCCCATTAAACTATATATTATATCTCGCATAGTACTATATATAGTATATATATACGTTAAGGGGCTGTTGTTCTGTAGCTGGTGCGGACTTGTTCTTGCTGCCAGTGTACAAAACCTACGAAACACGCTGATACGGACGATGTGAGTAAAATTATTAAATTATTAAATAAGTAGTTGAGTTGTAATTGAGTAAAGTGTTAAATTATTTTCCCAAACGCACGCACGCACGCACGCACGCACGCACCACATATATATCACGTACAAGCTACACGCGCATCACGCGTGTAGATAAACGAAAAAACACGTACACAAAACCTTAAAAATCTTTGCTCTTGGGTATCTGAATGTTGATGTACTGCACGACCGTTCCGTCGGCCGCATCGGCGCCCCCTGGCGAGCTGTCGGGTATCCGAATGTTGATGTACCGCCCGCGCGCACGCTCGCCACTACACGACCGTGCCGTCGGCCGCATCGGCGCCCCCTGGCGAGCTGTCGGGTATCTGAATGTTGATGTACTGCACGTCGCCGATGCTGACGCGCTGCGACGAGCGGTGGTTCTCCGACGACAGCAGGAAGCTGCGGATCTCGTCGACGATGTGCTGGAACTGCGGCCGCTCGTTGGGGGCCGTCGCCCAGCATCGCTGCATCAACTCGTGCCTGAGACAAGCAGCGAGACAAAGTCAGCAGTTAGTCGCCATGACGACGAAGCGTGGCGGATGCTGGGGTTGCTAAGATGTGGATGCTAGCAACAAGATGTGGGAGCGACGGTGTGTAACTCCTCATGGATGCTGAGGATGCTAGGAACAAGATCTGGGAGCGAACTCATCAGGGATGCTGAGGATGCTAGCAACAAGATCTGGGAGCGTACCATATCACTCAGAAATTTTAATATTTTAACTGCTCAACAGTCAACACTATTGCATTTACCCGAATTTTTCTACATGAAAAAGACTGTCTTCAGTACCATTTATTTCTATTTGAATTACATGCAATAAAGATTTAATAATAATAATAATAATAATGATAATACGTACAGTGGTTTCGGACAGTACGATGGCTGTGGCATGCGGCGGCCCGACTTCAGGTAGCCGAGGATGTCCCAGTTGTCGACTTCCGGGTAGGGGCAGACACCTCGTGTGAGTAACTCCCACAGAACGACACCATACGACCACTGCAACAACAACGCATACCATCCATCACCACGTGCAACACAGCGATCTGTCATGTTTCATCCCCTCCCTTCCCCTCTCTCCCCCTCTTCCTTTTTCCCTCCCTTCCCCTCTCTCCCCCTCCTTTTTCCATCCCTTCCCCTCTCTCCCCTCTCTTCCTTTTTCTCTCCCTTCCCCTCTCTCCCCTCTCTTCCTTTTTCTCTCCCTTCCCCTCTCTCCCCCTCTTCCTTTGCCTGCACCGCGCACATACCACGTCGCTCCTCGTGTCGTAGGTGCCCTTCTCAAGGCTCTCTATCGCCATCCACTTGACAGGAAGCTTGGCTTTCTTGTCCTTTGCGCTGTAGTAGTCACGCTCGTAGATGTCGCGCGACAAGCCGAAGTCAGCGACCTTCACCACGAGGTTCTCGTCAAGCCTGCAGCGACAGAGAGACGCTTTTTATTAAACAATACGTAGTCTTCGTAGGCCTACAGTATGTCGTGTATAATTCAGCTACGATTGTCGTAATCACATAACATATGAGGGCGCCACTGCAGCCCACGGGTAGAGATCATCCAATGAAGGTTGCTAGCAGATCAAGTATGAGTCTCTAGCAACAAGTAGCACGTGAATAACTTGCTCGCTGGAGGTAAAGTAACTATTAACACACAGCAGTGTACCATCACTTCGCTACTGACAGTAAACTTCACAGCGTAGTTGTAAACGACCAATTCGAACGATCTCTGTCAAAAAGCAACAGATTATAGCTAACAATACCCTGAACAACGGGGGGGGGGGAAACACATTCGAAAACGTTGATATGATGAAAACTGTATATAAAATTTCACGCGCATACACGGATGCGCAACGTCTGGAAAACGCACGTAGTCTAGGAATACATGAGGAATATTGGATAGAAAGATACAAACGGGTCTTCCGTGTTTCCATAAGATCATAAAGTCATCGACAGTCATCAAAACATACGATGCTAACCCTTTCATGATGCATCTACTAACAGTTGAACAGGGTAAGAAGTATTCAGTAGTACTTTCACCGTATAGTATTCGCACGGCGTTCGACACATCTTCTAAAGTTCAAACATTTTACGATGTCTCTGATAACCCTGCTATAGTTCGACTTGCGGGTTAGAATGCGACGAATCAAAATGGACACAGATGAGCCAGTGTTGCCACTCTTTCTGGTAGTAACGAGTATAAATGCGAGAAAAAAAAGCGGGAGGGGGATTGTTAAAAATTCACAAACAGTGTAAAATTCATTGAAACCTATCACATTGTAAACTATACAATACTCGTACATCTGAATAAATAGCACTTATTTATATGTAACACGTAACACTTGAATACAACCTTGTTTTAATGACTCACGTTCTCAGACTCACGTTCTCAAACTCACGTTTTCCTTACTCCGCCCGAGATAATTTAATTTAAGGATATAAATCTTTTCAATGCTGCACCGCATTATACTAGTTCACCCAGTTCTACCTGGCGATACTCTCACTTAAAGCCTTGCAGCTCTGCCACGGACCCTAAGCTTTTTTTACACATGTGTGGCAACCATTCAGTTCAATAGCAAGAATAAACGGTAATCCCAAAAATATGCATCCGTGTGCCAACGACGTCTAGAAAAACTCGCGAGGAGCAAGTCAGCAACAGAACACCGTTACAACACAATTAAAATGTGACCGGCGATTGTTAAACTAAAGAGACAAAAGTATCCGCCGGAACCCTGTCGGATAGTATGGTGGTAGGGGGCGCCACGTCCTGCGCTGCTTGTTTCGGTCAACCCAAGAAACGCCGCTCGCACACTGGATAGGTGCGATGATGAAGAGGGCACCACATGTCTACCAGCCTTTCCTTCAGCCACGCGTACAGGGGGCAGCACGATTCCACCGGCCGTGTGCGTTACCTTACTCGACAGCGTGTACACAAGGGGGCGCTGCATGCATGCTGGGGGTGCTGCATGCATGCAGGGGGCGCTGCATGCATGCTGGGGCGCTGCTGCTCAGGGCGATGCATGCGGGGGCGCTGCATGCAGCAGGGCGGCGCCTGCGCATGCATGCTGGGGCGCTGGCATGCATGCTGGGGCGCTGGCATGCATGCTAGGGGCGCTGCATGCACAGGGGCTGCAGGCAACGCGATGTCAGTCGACGGTAATCCATGTCTGTGTAGACAGGTCCTTCTCCGAGTCTTCCAACGGCGAGTCCGACTCCACAGATGGCGCCACGTGCGACTCGACGGCCGAGTTCTTTCGGCGGTTCTCGTCTGTTTCGACGGCGAACGGCGTCATCGTCGTCATCATCGTCATGGCGAGAGGTGGCGCGAGTGAGCGGCGGGAAATGTCGCCGGCGCCCGGGGGGAGGGGCCGGGAAGGGCGGGGTGGTGGCTGCCTTGCGTCTGCGTGGTAGAAGCAGGAGGTAGGCAGACTTGGCGCAAGCGTTCCTCTCTAACATCGTACGACGTGGCTGTCGTCGGAAGAGAGCGCCATCTAAGATAAAACAAAAGCGCACTGTAACAGAGTGGCAGTCTTAAATGACGGGCACGGTGCATGCAATGTAGGCATGCTTCCCACTGGCATACCCGTTGACATAGACGCCCCCAGCCCCCGCGTGTAGCGGCGACATACGTAGCTGTGCGTAGTATTATCTTATACATGTTATAGTAGATTAGTATTATAATATAATAAGATATATGTAGGATGTAAGTAGTATATCCTAATAGTCATTAATATATAGTAATAATTGTAATATAGGATCTATGTAGATATGTATGTAGTAGATATCTATTGGTATATAGCATATAATATTATAGTATATTGTACTATAGTATATTAATAGTAGTATAGATATTAGTATCATGGATGTTAATAAGGTATATAAGGATATTAGTATAGCTAAGTATATAACATATAGTATATAGTATACTAACTATAGTATATAGTATATATACATACTAGCATATAGTATATATGCAATGTAAAAGTACTAGTAATATAACAGTGCTCGAAATAAGCGTTGTCGCGGTTTGTCCGAGACACCCAGACATTTGTGGCGACAACCTAGCCAGTCTGCGAGACATTGTCCGGTGGAACAACCAAGAAAAAAGTTGACGAAAAAAACGGCCTTTATTTATGTTTTTCTCAGGGGTTCTACCATGAGGCATTATAGCTGGCGCCCGCCATTAATACTATGGTGTGAGGACAAGCAACGCATACCAGCTGCTATTTCCAAGCACTGGTATATGTGTCTTTTTCTGAGTTTATGAGAGGTGAACGTCAGTTCATTGGAACAGCAAACAGCAGTTCCCCCCTACATTTTGGTATTTTCCTATTCGCATTATATTTTGAATTTTTCCGATGGCTTTGCCCATGGCAAACAAACAACATGCAGTGGGGATTCTATGTTGGCCGAAAGTTCAAAAAAAGTAGAATTTGTTGGTAGTCAGAATGAAGGCTGTACATGTACTCAAAAGTGCTGGCAAAATACCATTCTCCTGCGATCATCTACTACATTTTCAAAATTTTCTGGGGAGGACGCCCCCATCCCGTTTGTTTTTTCACCCTCCCTTGGTAATCCCAGAGCCCGCCACTGAAGCATTAATATCTTGGGAGGCACGAGAACAATGAAACAATGTCGCCTATTTCACATGGCACCCAAACAAATGATTGAGAGATGAAGGTAGATGAGGCTTGTAGGGTGTGAGAGGGGCAGGCGGAGGCTAGCCATTAAAATTATTAAGTCATCCACTATTTGCGCAGTTGTGCTGTTTTTTTGGCACCCTTGTTAAAAAATCCTGGCTACCGCGACTGTTTTTGGGTGTTTATTCTGACCATATTATTATGATTGAAAATAGGAGATTTGGGGATTTTTTTTTTGGGACAACGAAATTGTTGGCGGACAACCTGATTTGAGCCTGGGTTAGTCCGCAGGGACAACCAGCAATTGTTTTTTTCTTATTTCGGAGCATGTATAAAGATAATAGTATCATATAATATATAATATATAGGATATAGTAGGCTACTACCTACATGTAGTAAAACAGTGAGTAGCATAGGCAGCAAACAGCCAGGAGGGCGCGAGGAACGCTCGAGGGAGAGTAGAGAGTTCAGCAGAACACACGAACACTCACCCAGACTACTCTTACGACTGTCCAGTAAGTCGGGCAAGCGGCTATACGTCGTGTAGTGGCCACCTAGGATGTTGCCATGGTGATTGACAACAGCATACAGATCATAGATGGGCACCGGGTCGCCGGGCTGCAGTCGGGTACACCAGTATGGACTCAGGTCCAGCCCTCTGAAGCAGAGAAATATATAATAGGCTAGCATTGCAGTGAGGATTCAGTGAATATATGGTTGGAATCAACAAGCATTACCACTATTATGCCCATTATCAATTTTCTTCATCATCACGCAGAATCATTATCATACCTTAGTCGTGCAGCACATCATTACCGATCATTACCATCATTATTCGATCATCGTCACATCATCATCATCAGTCGTCACCCATCATCCTGCATCATCGTGCATCGTCATTCACCAGAATCAGCATCAGCGACACATTAAGCATCTCCATAGATTTGCCTCAAAGTAACGCTCACATACCGTCAAAGGTCACAACACTCCAACACAACATAACAGCAACACACACTCACACAGGTACACACACATACATCACGCGCACGCATGCCAACACAGCAGTAGAATCTTCTCTCTCCACGACGCAGCCCCACACACACACACACAGGCAGTAGATATCTCTCCCCGAGCGGACGCACGCACACCACACACACACACACATCACACACACACCGCAGTAGACTTTTCTTCCTAACATGGCAGGCACACACACACTCCACCAGCGATAAGATATCTCTCCAGCGGCGCGCCAGAGGCACGCGCACACATACACACAGCAGTAGATCCTCTCTCCCACATGTAGGCAGCCGACACACAGGCAGTAGATCTCTCTCCCACACGGCACGCGACGCAACGCACGCACAACAAGCATTTTAGATTTTCTGCACTACAGTGCGACACAACTACAACGCTCGCGACGCACAGCGTAGATCTCTCTCCCAACCTACGCAGCAGCGACACACAGCAGTAGATCTTTCTCCTACATGCACACACGCTCGCACGCACAGCGGTAGATCTCTCTCCCACACCCACGCACGCACACACACAGCAGTAGATCTTTCTCCTACATGCACACACGCTCGCACGCACAGCGGTAGATCTCTCTCCCAACACCAGCCGGTCATCACACACGACAGCAGTAGACTCTGCTGCCCGACATGCACAACGCTGCAACGGCGCAGCGGGTAGATCTGTCTCCCAGCCGCCACGCACGCACACACACAGCAGTAGATCTCTCTCTACATGCCACACAGTTCGGCAGCTCGCCGAGCACAGCGGTCAGATCTTCTCCCACACCACGCCGCGCACACACACAGCAGTAGATCTCTCTTCTACAATGCACACACGCTCGTGTCGCTGCACGCACTGCGACAGCAGCCTGCCGCACAGCACACACACCTGATTGGATAGACGACCATCTTGTCTATCTTGTCTCGCCAGATGAGGTTCTTGAAGGAGAATCGCTTCAGCTGGACAATGAGGATCGTAGGCAGACGCCACAGAGACATCTGCTTCGTAGCCTCGCGGTGGGCCTTGCACCGCGGGCAGAACCTAACGAGAGACGACATCGTGTGAAAGACTGGACTCAAGACTCCACAGAGATCCAGAGAGCGAGGACCCGGAAAGAAGAAGAGCGAGAGAGAGGGGGAGAGAGAGAGAAACGGAGACAGCGAAAGAGAGGGGGAGAGAGAGAGAAACGGAGACAGCGAAAGAGAGGGGGAGAGAGAGAGAAACGGAGACAGAGAGAGAGGGGAAGAGAGAGAGTGGAAGAGAGAAAGTGGAAAAGAGAGAGAGATATAGAGTGAAAGAGTGAGAGAGAGAGAGAGAGAGAGAGAGAGAGCGAGAGAAAGGGAGAGAGGGAGAGAAGTGTGCGGGTGTACATGATTTTGTTACATACTCTCCTATTCAGTAACGTAAATGGGACCATACACCCAATGTAAAAATCAGTGAAAAAGAGTGAAAAATCAGTGAGAAAGAGTGAAGAATCAGTGAGAAAGAGTGAAGAATCAGTGCAATAGCCATCCGACCGTATCGTAGGTGGCGCCACAGTAACCGGCATCTTACCACGCTTCCTCTGGACTCAGCTTCTCCGGTTCCGTGAAGATGCTTAGACATTGCTCCAGCGTTATCTGTTCTGTAGAGATATATAAAGGAATAAGTGAGACATTGCTCCAGCGTTATCTGTTCTGTAGAGATATATAAAGGAATAAGTGAGACATCGTAGAAGTGGGAACGTCTCGTATAAAGAGTCACGTCTCGTATCAAGGCCTGAGAATCTGAGAACGATTTCTGAAGTACCACTTATTAAAACAAAATATTTACAAATGAAATAGAGTTATCGTCATTTCAATCATCGCTTCACAGATGCCCTACAAACACAAACTCCAATTCCCCGTACTAAAAAAAAAACTAAAAAAACGGACGGTCGCGGCGGACGTTTTCGCGAGTCGGACGCCAGGGGGCGCCGCGCTTACTGGCGTCGGCAGGGTCGACGTCGCAGCCGTCGTTGTCGTAGTCGAGCTCCTTGGACTGGACCATCACCCAGCCTGCGAGCTTCTCCCTGTTGTTCCAGTCCATCGCCAGCAGCCGCCTGCATCCCGTCAGCTCCAACACTCCGTCACCTGCAACGACGACGAAGACGACGCGGAGAGGTCACACATCACTCGCCGCCGGTGCCGCGCGCTGCTATTGGTTGCTAGTAACGCGCACTGCTATTGGTTGTTAGTAACGCGCACTGCTATTGGTTGTTAGTAACATACGCCGCTACTGGTTGCTGTACCGCGCGCTGCTATTGGTTGCTAGTAACGCGCACTGCTATTGGTTGTTAGTAACGTACGCCGCTATTGGTTTCTAGTATTGCGGGATGCTATTGGTTGCTGTACCGCGGGCTGCGATTGGTTGCTAGTACTGTAGGCTGCGATTGGTTGTTACTACTGCTTAGAGGAAGAACATGTCATGAGCGCAGGGCTGAGCGACGGGAGAGCACGCGAGTCATGCGAGACACATTGACCGGTCGGGTTTCAGATATCCACTCTCAATCGCTCTGCTAAACATATCGGGGAACCTCGGTATTTCAGCTACTACAATGTGGCCCCGTTATAACGCGATCGTTGAGGTCCATAAAATGTCATTGCGAAAAAAGCGGGGTTGCGCTAAATCGGAGTTCACACGAACAATGTGAATGAAACAGTTCTATACAGTCATGTACACAACATGCACAGAGCAACAAGTCATGTAAACTCATTTAGTTGCGCGATCTATAGGCAATCGTCGCTTCGACCTAAGGCCGGCTTAACTGAACAAAAATCCGGGGGCGCTTAAAATCGGGGTTTCACTGTGCTTACTGTTGAGCGTCTTGACGACCACCTCCCTCTCTCCATCAGACTTATTCACCAGAACTCCCTTGTAGACGCAGCCAAAGTGACCTGTACGAGCAAGCGTTGTTAACACATAACAGCGAGGGTTTCTTATACATAAGAGGCACAGTGGCGCACCGCCGTTGTCAAATTTAACATTGCCGTTGTGAAAATGCTCCTGTGTTTATTTACCCGCCATTGTCAAAATGGTGTCAACCCAAAAATAAATAGATCACCACGTGCTTCTGTCATATTTAGATTGCCATGTGTGTTTATTGAGTCATGTGACTTGGGGTCTACCCTTTTCCTACAGCCTACGGCACGCTTTATCCTTAACCTTGAATCCATCATGCGCGTTTTTTCCCAAATTTCCCCAAAGGCCATTACCTCCTTTGTCTAATTTACCCTCAAAAGAACCCCTGCATAGCCATAGCACCAAATGCAATGCCTCATCCTGTGATTCACAGGCAGCTAAGAAACACATTGAATGAAGCGAAATCATTCACGTCGATTATCGATCATTTCAGGAGTTAATAATGACAAATAATTTGTCAATAATAATTAAATTAAATAAAATTAAATAATTTGTCAATAATAATTTGACAATAATTTGTCATTATTAACTCCCGATCATTTCTTACACTTTGTCGTTAACCAACACGAATCCATCCATCGGCTCCACGCAGTTCAACCCGCGGTCATGAACAAACCACACGAACCACACAACACAGTCACTCGTCTCGCTGCACCGTGAGTGTACGTGGCGCCCCCTACCTTGTCCGATGACGTCACCGAGGATGACGCGGTCGCGATCGATGAACTGGTCGCGGAGCAGCAACCCCATCTCCTCGTCCGGCTCCCCGGCGCCCCCGCACGCCTCTCCATCGCCCTCCCCGCCGCGCAGCCTCGGCACCAGTCCGTAGTCTGAGACATGTGAGACAAGGCGAGACTGGGTTACTGAGACATGTGAGACAAGGCAAGACTGGGTTACTGAGACATGTGAGACAAGGCAAGACTGGGTTACTGAGACATGTGAGACAATAGGCTGCACAGAGATGAGGACGAGGATGAGCTGGGATGCTGAGTCCCCCCTGCCGCCGCTGCCGCCGCCGCCGCCGCCCCCGTCTGATCATTCTGCAGAAGCTTAACCGGGGGCTGGAACACGTTCACAGAGTACCTGCAAACAAGAAATCTCCGCATGTTAAACAGCTGCATGATGTAATACAGCAGGGTTAGGAAATAACGAGGCAGCCAGTAAGTTTTTGCCTGTAGCAAGTGTAGAATGCCAGCTGCTACGCTCACCTGGAGTAAGCCTCCATGTACTGACACAGGTTGGAGAAGGTTGCGCGCGACCGTGGCAGACTGACGACAAACGGACATCCGACGATGTCCGGCATCTCCTTACAACTCTGTTTGTGCTGCGACCAATGAGAGCGCTGGCACTGCCTGCAACGTGACGACGACACCGTCATAAAGTTAAGCGTGCGCGGCAAATCTGTTATCTCTCTCATCGTAACGGCTATTTATCAACGCGTGATAACGATGATAATAATAATAATAATAACAACATAAACAATAATAATAACAAGAAGAATAAGAAAAAGAAAAAAGAAGAAGAATAACTATACCGGTGACAAATTTATAACGATGGTTACCATAATAATATGTTACCATAATTGGTTATCAATAATAATTACGACAATATTATTATTAATATTATAATGAACATGCTAATAACGGTGGAATAACCGTGCTAATAACGGTGGATGTTCCCATGCTTACTGGTCGCAGTAGGCAGCTTTGTAGCACTTCACAACAATATTAACAACAACAACAACAACAACAACAACAACAACAATAATAATAATAATAATAAAACAATGAGTATTCTCATGCTTACTGGTCGCAGTAGGCGGCTCTGTAGCACTTTGCGCAGCGTTTAAGGCGGCTGCTGCTTTCGTATTCTCGGCGACAGAAGCTGCAGCGATTGGCTCCCTGCGACACGTGCTCGATCGCGCGCTGAATGACGAACACTTCCACGATGGGCTCGCCTGCCAGCGCCTCCGATAGAACCTCAAACCTGTAAGATAGACGCCAGATGCTAACTTATAGCTGTGTTATATACCAGCTGCTAGCATAATCCCATGTTATGTGCCAGCGCCTCCGACAGAACCTATATATATAGACCAAAAATCTACTTTCACTTTATTTCTTCGCAATTTGCAATGGTTCAATGATGTTTTATTTGATGATAAGTCGAGTACTGTCAATTATTGATAGGTCCGACGGACTTTCTGCTTGGAAATTGCGAAGGTCCAAGCGTAAAATCGGCAGGTCCCGGACCTCGGACTTGCCCTATTTTCAGCCCCTGCACCAGATGCTAACATAATACCACGTTATATGCCAGCGCCTCCGATAGAACCTCAAACCTGCGACAGACGCCAGATGTTATTATAAACCCATGTGATATTTCATCTGCTGGCATAATCCTGGGTTATATCTCATTTGCTTACATCTCACCTAACCCATGTCATGTACCAGTTTCTAACTTATACCTATGGTATATCTCACCTGATAACATAAACCCACGTCTTTAATGTACAAGAAACAAGTGCAAACCTGGTCACACACAGCAGAGTGCAGTGCTACATACGAGACGCAAGCTAAAACCCGTGACAACAGCTACGAAACATGTCAGACACGGTAAGAGAACAGGTCCTCAACTCGAGCTATCGTCACACAGCCTACATTTCTGCCCGCTCAACGACCCATCATCGAAAACGTTCGTTTCGCGTTTCGCGACGATGCAACAGATCTCGCGCGCACTCACACGAACAGGATGTCGGTCGGTACGGGGCTGCCCAATGTTGCACCACGGGAGAAGAACTTGTGGATCTTGCCTTTGTACATTTCGAATATCCTTTGCTGCAAAAAAAAAATCGAGAACGTACGCACAAATGATTAAAGAACACACGTGTGCTGTGCCGTGAATGCTCATTACTGCAACAGTGTAAGATTACCAGCTGCTGTGCCCACCCTTGCTCAGGGGTAGAAATGAACTTTTGAACAAGGGAGTCCAACGGACTCCCTGCCCTCTAAAAGAGGGAGTCCGCGGCAAAATGAGGGAGTCCGCAGTCTGAAGTTCAAAATTAAAGAATAACAACAATAACGCATGTGCTTATTTTGAAGATTCATGCGGTTGCACGTCTGCCAAATTTTCTTTGGACATTTGCTGAAAAAATACGGTCATTCCGCGAGGCCGTGCTCTGGAACAAACTAGTTAGTATAGTATGGCAGAATTTTCAGGGAGTCACACGGACTCTAAACCGTTAATTTCGCACCCTGCTTGATGCAGTATCTTTGCTGGTACACTGCAGGAATCGGTGAAGCCACGCTCATAATACGCATCACAATGCGGACTACGAAAATACGTACAGACGTAAGACCACGACACCGCTCGCCAACCACCCACTCGGTGCGCATCCCAGCATGTGCCAACTACCAAAGTTCTCACATCGAGCGAATACAACAATCGAGCTGAGATAACCGAGACGAGCTAGCCGCGCCACGACCTGCGAGTGTGGCGCCCTCTGCCGAGCGATCGCGACCACCGCTCAGGTTTTTCACGCGCAGCTCCGTCTCGCGACAACACGCAGGGATAGAAATGAACTTTTGAACAAAGGAGTCCAACGGACTCCCTGCCCTCAAAAAGAGGGAGTCCGTAGCAAAATGAGGGAGTCTGCAGTCTGAATTTCAAAACTAACGCATAACAACAATAACGCATGTGCTTATTTTGAAGATTCGTGATTCATGCGATGTACGTCTGCCAAATTTTCTTTGGACATTTGCTGAAAAAATACGGTAATTCGCAAGGCCGTGTTCTGGAACGAACTACTACTAGTTAGTATAACATAATTTTCAGGGAGTCACACGGACTCCTGCATATGTCAAATCAGGGAGTCCGACAGTAAATCAGGAAGTATTTGACTCCGGACTCGCGTTGATTTTGCACCCTGACGCGGCATCCGTCACCCCCCCCCCCCCATCGTACTCACGCAGTGAGGGTGAACTCCCGTCTTCGTGTAGACTTGTTCCATCATCTCTTCCACGGTCGCGTCCACCGACAGCCTCAGTTAAGGTCGATCTGTCATTATTAAATGCCATGCGATGGCCTTGTGAAATGGAATTGACTCCCAAGTTTTTGCTTTTCGTCAACAGGGATGAGAAGTTTCTATCGATGCATGAAGACACAGACAAAGACACTCTTTTCTCCTGGCACCGTCATGCCCTAAAGGTGAGTTCATGCATCACGTTAATCATCTTAATCGCTCAACCATCTCACCGCTTATTAGTCCGCGAGAGAGCAGCCGGTTATGATGCTCTAGGCAGTTATTACTCTGACGTAACCTCCCTTACTTCACGCCTTGTGATCTGGGAATTTCCATGTGCATAATACCGGAGTATGGAGCCTAACACGAGATCCAGCCATGGAAATTTAAAAACTATTTCATATAAAATTTATATTAAATTATTATTGGATTATCAATAATTATATGTATTGTGAATCAATCAGCTAATTTAATATATTAATATATTCTATAATAATAAATTATATATTATTCAGATTATATGCGTAGAAATTATAATCAAAAATCTAAAAATATTAACGAAACCTTCCTTGTCCTTAGCAATGCAGCCGACCGCCTGCATACCTATACCCTGCCCATGCTAACTCTTATCCTGCTGCCGCCGCGCGCGTGCTTCCCGTTCCCGCAGGGCAGCCGCCGTGAACGTAGCTGAGTGCAAGCTACAGGCACGACAACGGAATGTTGGAGGTCACACTTGAGCAAGGGGAGAGCAACACTGGCCAACGCTCGAAGGCCCATCCGTAAAACGTACGAGTCCACGCACCTAAAACCTGTAACAGCTTCTTCCCGCCCTCGCCCCCCTATACCCCGCCAAGATTGTAACGAAATCGAACTCATAAGCACCTTATGGCTCAGGCGCTGCCACGGCCGCCCAGAGGTCGGTTTAATCTATTGGCTCCAATAACATCACATGAGAAATATCAACGTATTAACGAATACCTTTCCAATACCGTCTTACGAAACTATTCTGCTGACACAGATCATGTTCTTAGTATGCTGCAGGCTCTTACTGTAACTAGAAGCTAGTGATAGCTGATCGAGTTATTCTCTCTGAACGCTTATTATCGTTATAACATCACGTCCAGTATGTTACATTTTTTGCATTTTCATCGCTTAGGCTGGCAGGCGGCGGCGGCGGCGCGGCGCGCGCCACCAGTCCCTTGTAACACGTGGATCCCAGCGCAGGCTAACGCTTGTGGAGAAGTGCGCTACGCCTACACGAGGAACAGTCAGGACAACGGGAATCGGACAGTAATGCATCAAGGTAGCTGGCATCTCCCGCCGGTCCTCACTCTGTCGGCCTCCATGTTAACACTACCCAACCAACTTGTTAGCCAACCTGCCATAACACCTACTAATGCTACGCATCCCTCGAAACCCTCACATTTTAAGATATTATTCTGCTGGCATGAACGCCTTCTCCCTTCTTACAGCTGAATCTTTACATAAACATAAACTTCACACAATTGTTACAGCCATATCGCTACATGGAACCACCTTTCTTCCAATTGTTCCTAGCCGATAGCCGACGTGCATGGTCTCGCCTATCACAAGCGCGTGTCACCCCCCTCAAGGCGACGAGCCTGGTGTTGGCGCCGGGTTTACTGGTCTCGACAATCTAGGGAAACACGTGCTTTTAATGAACAGTGTTGCTCAGGCGCTGCGAACACATGGAGATTCCCGCGATCAACTTCTAGGTGCAGCGAACAACGCCGTTTTCAAACTACCCGCAATGTTCTGGCATCACTTCCTATGTGCGCGGAACACACGCAACCGTGTGTTCAAAACTTTAAAACGTAATGTTCAGTGATTACTTCCTGCGTGAACAACGAGCATGTTCATGTGCCACCATGTGAGTTTAGGGCTCACTTCCTTGGTGAACAGCATGCGTTTTCAAACCTTTATACGTGAATTCAGCAGTTACTTCCAAGGTGAACAATGGTCGTGCTCAAGCGTTAAAACGTAAATTCCGGGCACACTGTCTAAATGAAGAGTGGGTGTGTTCAAGTGGCTAAAACCTCATAGTTTCAGTGATCACCTTTCTAGGTGCGTGAAGCACTATGCGTGTTCGAAACTTAAAACGCTACTACAAGGACGTTTACAAAGTGAACAGCCGCGTGTGATGTTGCGGGTGTTGTCGTTGCGAGGGAAGGTATCCAGAACGGATTAACACGGAAACCCGCTTGGCATAGGAGGGCTAAGCTGGCCGTCGGCGTTTCGCGTGGCTGGTCACACAAGGTTCTATGGTCGGCAGCTCACCGCTCCTACCCTCCATCGAAAACTCAAGGTAAGCCATGAGTGCAAACCGCGTTTTACCCCTGTCCAGCCCGCTCGCTCGCTCGCTCGTATGCGAATGCTTCATGCGCATGTCAGTTCCGTTTGCCGTGTTGGTGCAAGGTTGTATGGCTCCGCACTCACCCTCCTAAACCCTCCATCGAAAACTCAAGTGAAGCTGTTATAAGTGGCAAGCCCCGCTCTAAACTCCCCCCCGCTCTCAACTTAGCTTGCTGCAAATGCTTCTGTTCGGTCCATGGGTTGTCAGCTATTTAACATCGATGCTTTCTTTTGGCGATGGAAGAAAGCTGGATGGAAGTATGTTCATTCTGCATATACTGTAAGAAAGAAGTACGTTGGCTAATATATAATACAATATATCGTATGTAAAATATAATTGGTATGTAAACTATAATTATACATACAATAGTTATACGTAATATATATCTGAAACAATATACCTGCCCCGCGAAATTGGTGACATCTGCCTGATAGCCGGCTCTGTGACTGGCTTGGGAAGTGTCGTGTAGCTCTAGGAAGTGAGTTAGGGAAGTAGGAGTGGGACGTGGGGTATGTCTGTACACTGCAGTGTGGGCACGCCGGCAAGGCAGGTAGGGGCATCGGGCTGTCTGTAATCTGTGTGTGTGCATGTTACAGCACCTGGTCTCACTGGAAGGCGAACCAAAATTAACGGGATTCGCTGCACCACGACGCGCAGGAGTTTATGCGGCCTTTCTGGCTCGACGGACTGCACGAGGTACGTTCTCTGTCTTCTCCGTCCACCAGGTGGAGCGCTGTGACTGCAGCGGGGTACGCCGCCTCTCATCCTCAATCGTCACAAGATGGAGCTGGTGGGAAGCAAGAAATATCGGAAGCGAGACATGCAAAACTTTAGTTTGCCTTTACGTCGGAAGTCATGTCTGTTTGCATTTCCTCTTTGTGGATTCCTTACTGTGGGTATCCTTTTATTGTCGGGTTTTTTCTATGGTGTCTTTACTTATGGATTCCTTCTTGCTTGGTTCCATTCTTGTCGCGATCCCTTCTTGGATGGGTTTTCTTCTTCCCGGGCCAGCGGATGCCAGTACCCTCTCCCTTATCCTGTCACTCTCTGGCAGAACTTTGAACCGTGTTAAGAGAAGCCTAGCGTGGGTGGATCCCGAGCGACCAGAGTCTGAGCGTTTCGGATGCGGAAGCTGCGCACGACATGTGGATATCTAACCGGCAGCGAACAACTCCTTGCATCGGTAGCCTGTTTCCAGGACAGTACAAGTCTCCAAGCTGGGGTGCTGCCCCGCCCGCCCTGGCTGCGGCTGTCTGTGCAAGGTAAGCAACCCATGTTAGACTAGGTATAATGTCTGTTGTGCTCGTGGTGTGAGAAGGTTAAAAGAAATGATACAAGAGGCTACATACAGTTCACAGGGCCTGTTGGTGCCTTTGCTGACAGGGTTTTGGTTTCATGGACAAATACAAGTCGGCTTGGTATCTTGTGTGTAGAAAGAATAAAGAACTGAATCCTAAGGACAAAAAACGGTGTACAGTGATGGTGACAGCGGTACTAGGTATTTCACCAGAACAAATGTAGTTTCAGTGTTAGTTCCGCGCGTATCTTTGATGGGATTACAGGCTTTGAATGCTACACCGTCTTGGCCAGAGCCGACGTCGTTTGTAGAGCCCTTCACTGCCACCATAACGTAGTTGACAACGGTGTTTCAAATGTTCGACGACATTCTGCAATCCGTTTGCTCTACCATCTCCGTGCCACTGCGAAGAAAAATACGCATATTACGATCTTCTTTTTTCTCTAACGAAGATCCGTAAATGTTCGACCCCGCAGGGTGAGTACCAGAGAAGAGTGGAGGCAGAGGAGAGGAGGAGGGGCAGGAAGGAGGAGAGGAGGAGGTGGAGGAGTAGGAGGAGGGAGGAGGAGGGAGGAAGGAGGAGGAGGAGGAGTTGAGTATACGAAATTGCGGCACGTCATTTGGCTGGGCTTTTGGTTGTGTTTTG